AGGGGGGGTTAGTAATAGTTATAACAATATTAGAAGTTCTCTAACAAGATTAAAACCTATTCCCGACTAGTAGATATCACCGACATGGATTTTTTTCTTCCATTGTGTCCTATCTTCAAATAAGTCTGCAGAGCGATTATATATTAGAGTTGCTATATTGCTATATGAATTGAAGAAGATATACCTGGTTAGACAGTAGACACTACAACTAAAGAACTGTGAACTGCATGTTAGAGCAATATTTACTGAGTATTTCTTCTTTATACCTGACCAACAATGTTGAACCTGCAAATGGATTGAAAGAAAGACAATTTACTGTAGGAAGCAATATGTGGTGGGACAAAACTTAAAAGTAGAAAATCATCATTAATATAGTATAATAAGTTATGACAGGTGATTATTATAATACAACAAAGAGAAACATAAGCTAACAGGATACAAATTTTTCTTACAAGATAATGCCCCGATAGAATTTAAGTTTTATACGCTGATAGTAAAATGTATTAACACAACCAGGTCACTTAAAAGGTAGCGGGTAACTGTATTTAATAATATTAATCGGTAATCCAAAATAAATGATAAGTAACCTACTATAACAGGTTAAATTATATTAATACGTAAAGAATTAAATACATTGTCGGTGCATGTAACTTGAATGAATTAAGAAAACAGGGCATGGCATAATAAGGCACTGGAATGTTTGTATTAAGGGAATTAAGTCGACGATTAATGACAAATGGTAGCAATTAGACTATATAAAGGGCAGCCCGGTGCACTAAATGGTTTATTGTACGCAGCCTTACGTTGCATTTCTGCAAGAGGCTGTTTTCACGGCTCGAACCCATGACCTCATGGTCACATGGCAACAACTTTACTAATTACGCCAAGACTCCCTTCATATATGACATAATTTACTTAAATTTAAACTAGAAAAGTAATTAATTAGTGAAAATAATTGAGAAAATTAATTACCAGCCAGTAATCCAAGAAGCAAAAGGAGCCCAAGTTGGACCAGCAAGCATAGCACTCCAATAATAAAGACCACCAGAAGTTGGATAAGATGAACAAATCTCAGCCATTGATAAACCAACAACCATAGTAAATGAACCAGCAATTAGCCATCCATATATATAAGAAATTGGCCCACCAAAACTTAATCCAGTTCCGAACAATGTGTTTAAACCAGTAAGCACTGATATTATAGAAAATGAAAATGCAAAGTTCGATAACACCCTGCAAAAAAGTTCCAAATTCAATGTCAGTCGCACATTTATATGACTATAAATTATCTTGATAAAATAAGACGTTTCAGGAAAATATGATATTGTAAAGTTGTTGCCATGTGACCAGGAGGTCACAGGTTCGAGCCGTGGAAACAGCCTCTTGCAGAAATGCAAGGTAATGCTGCGTACGATAGACCCCTGTGATTTGGCCCTTTCCCGGACCTCACACATAGCGGGAGTTTAATGCACCGGACTGCCCTTTTTATACTAAAAAGAAAAAGTATGTCACGTAAACTGAAACGAAGGAAGTATATTAATATGAAGGCGGGGTTTTACGAAAGATCGCGCTTGAGTTCTTGTTTGTAGCCAAGTTCGTGAAGACGTGCATGGTCTGAATCAATAGCACCTTTATTGCATTCTTCAATATTCATACTCATTTTCTTTCAAAATTTTCTGAGTGAGAGACTACGGGCCGAGCAGCTAGGAAGAAGTGTAACGAACGAGAGTTGTTGAAACTGGCGTATTAGAAGATCAATCGGCCAAAATAACCATGAGCAGATGAGAGCATGGACAAGGAAATTATATGGTGGGTTTTTGTGGTTTTGGTTGTTAGTGATATTTGAATAGAGTGATGGACAAGGAAATTATAGCCACTGAAAATGCAATAACGGGCCATTCTTTATTATTTACATTTCACTAAGTGACAACTGACAAGTTGACACTAAATCTTTTGTTTTCTCCTTCTTTTTGCCCCCATTGAGTGCAGAATTTTATTATGATTAAAAGGTCTTAAAAAGGAATTAAATTTGTGTTCTTAAACATGATTAATTTTCGTACGACTATAAGATTTATTAACGGTAAAATGAAAAATTTAAATAAATTATTTTTAAAATTTTAGAAAAGTAACAGTCTTGTTGTAATGAACTAATAAAAATATTACCCATTTATTGAAACGGAGGGAGTCTATTTTAAGCAATAATCGTCGTCTTTCTTTATACACGCTCAAGCGTGGTATAAAAACGGCAAGCAATGGCAGAGCCACATTCAACCAAGGGGTGACACCCTTTCACCAGAAAATTACACAATATTACTAGATAAATTTTTTGCTTTATGTATATTTAATATGCATTAACTCCCCTTGACTTTTCGATATATTTAACTTTTTATACTTTGAAACCTCCTAGTGAAAATCTTAGTTCCCCCACTAAGGACAACTAGTTTGGTATTTGAAATGGTTTTGCCACAAAAACTAGAGTTAACTAATATAGAAAAGATGAAGATGCTAGGTTAGTATTCTCAAAAAAAGGAAAGAATTGTGACAAAGCTATGTAACCTTCCAATGTACATATATAACAAAGATATATGGAAGAACACTCTTCCTAGAAAAGGAAATATATAATCACATACTATTGGCTCTGTTTAGTTGTAGTGCAAAAGGTCCAGGAAATAATAAAATTCTAACAGTCGTAAAAATAAGCCATTTCACAACTTGGCTCCAGTTATCCCTTTTGAATGTCATCACTATGAACTCTGGTAATCGAATACAAGAACAACCAGCTATCTGAGGGAAAAATTCAATGAGATCAATAATATCTCAAGCTAAAACTGGGACATAAAAATAAACGCCTAAGAGTACTAGAACACTGTCCCTAGTTTCTCAGCTGTATTACCAGCTCTTTTCAGAATCAAAACAAATATAAAGATGTGGCGGGGCTATTACAGAGACCTGAAAGGGAACTGGGAAAACCAAGGATTATGTAGCAACTAAATCAGGAGTTTCAGCCTCCACAGATAACAAAGCCGTGTGTACTTTATCCACCCAATTGTCTAGCCGATCCCTCAATGACTTGATTTGGGGAATTCCCAAAACTCTTGGTTGCACCCAGGAGACATAAACTGTCCCTTCGACTTGATCAATTATTCCCTCAATGAGATGAACCTACAGGAGGACAACGTTAAACCAACCGTGAGAAAGACATGAACTACAAAAGAAGACGACATGCAGCATCAAGACTGCCCAAGTAGAAAGTTCAGGGGACTTGGGAAAAGTACAAAAATTCAGGATAAGTGTTAATTGCTAATTACTAACTAACATGTCTATCGTTTGCATTAGGATTCGCAAAACCCAACATAAAAACTAGAGTTAACTAATATAGAAAGATGAAGAGGTTACTATTCTCATAAAAAGAAAGTTATGACAAATCTATGCAAGATGAAATAGTGATGGGAAGGGAAAGGAAAAGTATGAATACAACACTGAACAATAAACATCCAACAGCATCTTTCCTCCTCCTTTTTCAATAAATGGCCTAACCAAGTACATATATAACAAAGATATCTGGAAGAACACTCCTAGAAAAAGAAATGTACAATTTCACATTCTATATGCAAATCCAAAAGATCAAGCATTTTTATCATCTCAGATAAGACTGTATTAGTACTAGGAAAAAGTAACGAAGAACGGCCCAAATGGAGGAGCTTGCACTCATTGCTTAAATTAGTTCGGGAGAATAGCAAAAACAAAAAACATAAGGGCAAAAGGATATGTTTCTCAACCCATAGAAAAACAGAAGATGCTGATATCAATTAAGAATACAACAAAAGATGCACATTTACTGTGCCGTCATGAATGAAGGAAGTTGGTGAGAATAACAGAGGTTAAATTCTAATTTAACTAAAAAGAACTTACAGAAAGGCTCTTCATGAGTAGATATTCTACATCCTCCACATTTAACTTTGTACGCTCTGCAATCACACTCAGAGGAATAGTTCTATCGTCTGCTGGGCGACTGCATGCAAATGTATTGTCCAAAGCTTTAGTATCAATCCTAATGGCATAAGTAAATAAAACTCCATTATCTGCGAAACTGATACAGTACCTGAAGATAATTTCCATCAAGCAGAGAATGTTGACCTTCTCGAGAAGCTTTTTCTCGTTCTGCACCAATGCTGGTTGGGCACTCAAAGCAGCTTGATGGACATGGCATAATTGTTGATAGCGAACCAAATCACCGGTGTTAAAGGCTTCAAGAATATAATAGAGCCACTCAACCTTAGTCCCTACCAGACTCTGTATCTGTAACAAATAAGAATAAGTCATGATAGATTGAATATACACAATCTTGTCAGCACATAAATCTAGTCCATCCCACACAACTGAAGTCAATATAATGGATAAAAAGGTATTTATTGAGATTTCAGTGAGTTCTCAGATAAAATGCCTTAGTAGTTAGTTTATTGTCAGTTTGATTCGGGTATCTCTTAGTCCTTGTATACACGGTCTCGACCTTCCCCCATACTATATCAACTAAATGCCTTACGAGAAGGGAAATTCCAGTCATCCATGTAAAAGTATGCACTAAAACTCAGAAAACTAAGTAGCAAAAGATGGCTATTTGGGACCATTAGAGGAATACAGTGGAGCCAATGAGAAGAACTATATTTCTACAAAAGCAAAAAAAAGTAAGGAATAACCGGCAATGACTAGGGCACAATTTTGCATCCATACGTATTGGGTCAACATTATACTTATCCCAGGACCAACATCGTCACCAATAGGGACGACTCTTCATAGAAAGAATCCAATACTTGTTTTTTTGTTTTTGCCCCAGAAGGTTCGAGAGGGTAGGTGGAGAAGAGTTGCAGACTCGTAGTGGAGGTCCAACTATCTTGTTTAACTGTTCTCAGCAGTGAACAAAAAAGTAGAAGCAGACTCATAATGAAGGTCCAATATTCATGTTTAGAAGTTTCCAGAAGTGAGTTGAAACCCTTGGAGCAAGAGACAAAAAGACAGAAAAAAGCAGAAAAATAGATGATCCTGCTAACTGCGGCTCCCTTTTCATACTACAGATGACAACACAATAAGACCTGAAGACATATTCTGACAGCTGGGAAGAACACCAAGTACATTCCTTGAATGGGCAGTCCACTTAGCCATTTCCACAAGAAAGAAGCGTTAACAGATAATTTCCAGCTACTTGAACATAACTCTAGCGCATGGAAAGCACATAAAAGAAAGAGGGAATCTGTCAAATAAACTTACAATTGGATGAGCAAGTAGTTCTCCAAAGTTGTATATGTTGTCTCCCAGCAATGCTGACAGGGACAAATCGAAAGCCAAATCCTAAACAAAACAGAAGAAACAGCAACCGTTTTCAGATGCATTATAATTAAAAGACTGAAATTGCAGAAAATACTGCAAATCACATAAACAACTAACAAGTATTTCTACTCAAAGGCTGAAGCAGCTGTTAGAAAAGACCACCTCGACACTGATACAATAAGCAATTAAACAATAACGCTTTCATTTTTTCAGCATTTGATTGATTAGCAAGTAGCAACTGTCAAAGTACTGAATTAATGCTTAAGCCCATAGCACTGTGACGTCTCTGACTTAATACGAGTTGTATGGGTAAATCATGAAGAATCTATGCAGAACTTGGAAATGATGAAGAGCATATTAGAGAATTTCGATCCAATAGCAAATCATTATAAAAATAAATTAAACGAAGACCTTCAAAAGATTCACTATACTGTGCAAAGCTTCCTCTGTTAGGAAAAAAAGAAGAGATCATTCCTTAATACTTTACACATCCTTAGAGATGATACTGCAGTCAAGGATGAGAAGACTAAATACTCGGAGACACAGCAAACTGTGTCCATAATTATAGGCTTTTCTAACAGCTCTTTAACCTAGAAAATATTTAAGTTGCTCGGACGCGGGTGCGGATCTAGAAGTCGGATTCTTCTAGATGGTAATTCTAAGATTCAGGAATATGGATCCTATTCCTAGTACTGATACGGGTGCGGAGATCCGGCAAAAATAATTCAAAAAAATAAATATATCTCTAAATATGAGAAATTTTGTGGAATACTATTTACATATAGCTTGTAAAGTATGGATTTCTTTTTTATTCTCAAGTTGTAGATAAGTAAATGATTGATTTCCTAGATAAGGTATGTTATTTTCTTCAAATTTACCCTAGTTTTGGTTCTGATTTCGGGAATCAAATTGTATCTCGTCTAAANGGGGGGACAATTTCATTTTTAAATTGCTTTCATTCTCTTGCTAGTTAACTGAATAACTGATTAAAAAGAGAGGATGGTGACTATAATGTGACAGGGATTCAAGAAAATTTCACACCAGTGATTCCATCATATACTCTTGAAAATCAAGTAGCATAGATTATAAAAGACATCATATAAGGTACCACTTGAGCCTTGAACTCATTTCTGTCAAGCACCAAGACTAAGTAAGAGGCTCTTCTAAATGCCTAAAATAGTTGTGGTTTCTACAGATATAATCCAGCCAAAGAGATGTCCTACAAATATTCCCCAGTCTCACTATCTTCTCAATGATCCCAACAATTTACCCTATTTAAGTAAAATAATTTAATAAATGGACAATTGATACACAATTAGCTAAGTAATACAAACAAGCAAATGGGGCAGGGTAGGTTGACAAAACAAGAAATGACAAAGTACCAGCTTAAATGATTCAGAAAGAGATTCCACTGAAGTGTAAGCAAGATAAAGAAGAGAACTCTTGTAGAACTCAGCAAAGTCCTGGCGAGATTTATGATACTGAGATGAAACCCAATAATAGCTCGCATAAACAGATGGATCAATGTCAGTCATACTGTCAAGTGTAGTCTTCCCTTCATCTAAAAGTTTCTGGCATTCTTTTTGATCCCCTTGCTCAAGCTTAAACAGGGCAATCTGCATCTTAATAAAAAGAATCGGCTCCTTTATCCGTGTCTCCTTAGTATTACGAAGTTTCTCAGCCACTCCTTCAAGGTAACCTATAGCAGCCTCTTTCTCAGGGTATTGCCGAGAAACAATGACCGCAAAATGTGCAAGCTTGAGAAGATTGATCTTTGTCTCAAAATCAGTGATGAAGTTGTCATACAACTGTATTAGTGTGTCACCAGCCTAAAGGGAGAAGAGAGGTGTTAGATGCCAAAACAACAAAATAAAACAAACACCCGTTTACGTAACGTTCTTCAGAATCAATCACGCACAAATGTAGCAAGGTACAAATAGATTGTCCGAAGCAAAAGGTACAAACTTTCATGCAATAAAGACACATATAGTAGTAATACAGTCTAAGCTCCAAAAACATCACCATTCCTGGAGAATGGACCCCCAGTGATAAGATTTATTACTAAACTATTTTAGTTTTACCAGGTCCACTTCAATTTACACCACGAGTACAGGACAAAGATAACCAATAAAGCACCCATTTAGATGATTGAGCATTTCTTTTGGGGAATATGTAATTGTGATGATTTAAACTAACACTCCCTCAGTCCTAGTGATATTCTTTCCTTTTTAGTCTGTCCCAACAAAGAACAATAAATTTATATATTTTTAAACAATTTAATTTTAACCCTCTTATTTTACCCTTAATGAGATGATTTCTAGTCACACAAATATCTATGGCTTATTTTAGACCATAAGTTTCAAAAGCCAATATTTCTTTCCCAAACTCCATGAACTGTCAAACATCCTCACATAAATTGGGACGGATAGAGCAGATAAAAACACATTAACTTCACTTGACTTGATAATCTATCTGCTTATTTTGCCACTAAGTTCGGAAACAGTGTCCTAATTAGTTCCATATAAGCTAATCCAGATGCATTGCATTCCATAATTAGGTAAATTATCAACATATTACATGCTAATTCATGCTAAATGAAACAAATGCAAATAAGAATAAGAATTCAACTTAAAACAAAACCCTCCACAAAACCCTAACTTTTTACACACCTAAACCCATAGCATTCATACCAAAAAACGTCTAAATACAATTAAAACAAAACGAAATTCACAGGTATTAAATGGAATTTAATAAGGACCTGAAAAAGGGGAAGTGAAACGAACTGGTCGAGCTTGAGAGTAAGCTGGTGCCAGAGCTTTCTTTGGTACAGATCTGATAGCGTAGTGTACCAATCGGAGAGTTCTGGATGGGCATTGCAAACTGATTCCAAATACTGTAGAGCCGCCATGGCTGAAAAACTCGATGCAAGACGAAGCAGCTGCGATGTGTGTGTGTGTGAGAGAGAGAGAGAAAACTAAAACTTCTTTCTCTTCTGAATTGTGTTTGGCTTGTTCTTAAAGAAAAGAATGGGAGGAATATGGAGTTTTTAATCCAAATAATCTCTTTAAGTTTGGAAGCAAGTCTATTTTAGTCCCTAAAGTATTACATTAAATATATGTGATCTTTAAGTTTACAACAACTAAGCATTTTTAATCCAACTAATGAATCTCTCAAGTGGGTCACTTAATATTAAAAGAAATGTAATATGTTTTCAACGTATCCAAGATAAATACTTAGTAAGTAACAATTATGATTAAAACCTTTTTGATTAATTTCATTTCCCTCCTCAATCACGATTTACTTTTGTTATCGATTGATTTTCCTTTTTCAACTATGAAGATTATTCTCTTTTTTTATTTTTACTTTTTTTCTTTTCTTGTTTCTGCATGACTAGTGACGAAATTGAGAAGAAGATCCCTATATGGATCGTTTTACTCTTGTCATATGTAAAAATGTATTAATAGTCTATTTGGGGCCTTATTTTTTGTTACACCTAATAGGGTATATGTAAATTAAAAAGAAAAGTTATGTGAGGTAAAAATGTTTGATTTCTTTCTTTAATAAATATAGAGAAGAAGGATTTGCAACTCCTATAATTTCTGTCAAGGAAATTGCATTTGAAATGAATATCGAACACGAATTTCGTAAGAAACATGTGATATATAAGAAGAAATAATTTGATGAGAATGTTGATAATGAAATCTCAAAATCTCTCGAAGAGTCTTTTAGAGTTGATTACTTTTTATACATAGTAGACAAGACTATTTTTTTCACTTTAAAATGATTTGAACAATTCAAAACATATAAAAATATTTTAGGTTTTCTATTTAGCGGTAAAAAACTGGGATCACTAGATAATGAAAATTTAAAAAAATATTGAGTTAATCTTGAATATTCTTTAAAGCATAATGATCAATCTGATATTGATCGTTTAAATTTTTTTTATGAATTTAAAGTGTTAAGAAAAATAGTACAATTAGAATATGACAGTTTAATTAATATACTCAATCAAATAAAGGATTTGATTCTTTTCCAGACGCCTATGTTGCTTATAGAATAATGTTAATAACTCATGTTACCGTTATTTCGGCAGAAAGAAGTTTTTCAAAATTAAATTTTATAAACTTTTGCGTAAGATCAACAATGTCTCAAGAGAGAAATGGATTAGCTATATTGTCAATTGAGAAAGACTTATTAGGAGAAATTGATTATAAAAAAATTATTATTAACTTTGCATCTTAAAAAATAGACTTCAAATAAAAAATAATTTTTTTTTAAAAAAAAAGATAAGGCCCCTCATAAAGTTTGGATTTAAGCCATAAAATTCGTTGGGCCGCCTCTGGGGTTTTTGTGAGACAAGTTACACGGCATTGCACCTGCCAATTTCACACAAGTAGTTACTCGGCTGACAAGAACTATTGAGCCGAAAACAAGCAATAGGGTCAAGTTAATTTGCGATCAAGGTTGAGTAGTGGGCATAAGAAAAATCTATCAAACCGGGTAGTTAAAATAGCAAGGGCTAGCCAGTTTTCGGACTAGTCATTCGAAAATAGTAGCGTTTGCAAAGTCATTGAAAAATAGCCACTTTTTTGCTGTAATAGGGACTGGTCCAGCATAATATACTAGAGATCGGTGCACATGTGTATGAACTTCCAGCATATTATGCTGGAACTCCAACACTCGAAAAAGTTCCAGCATAATATACTGGAGATTGGAGCACATGTGTATGATCTTCCAGCATATTATACTGGAACTCTAGTATATTATGTTGGAGTTCCAGTATACTTATGCTGGAACTCCACTATAATATGCTTGAGTTCCAGTATACTTATGCTGGAACTCCACTATAATATATGCTGGAGTTCCATTATATGTATGATGGAACTTCAGTATATTATGCTAGAGTATTTTCCGGGTTTTGAACAGTGTTTTCGTTCAAATTTATCTTTACATGAAAAGTGGCTAAATTTCGATTACTTTTGAAACTGTGGCTATTGTTGAATGACCACTTGTAAATCTGACTATTTTTGAATTTCTCTCAAATGAGTAATGGTCTGTGATTTGGGTTTATGCATATTGTTTAAGAAAAATATATGTTCTCTCATCCCTTTGCTCTTAGTTTAAGTTTTTCCATTCTTAGATCGATCCTTAGTTACGTGTAATTTCAATATTTTCCATTGTAATTCAATAGTTTGAATGGTGCAATTACTCTCCCTATTGTAATCATGTTCTAGTTCTTATTAATATAGTGAGGAATTTGCCTATTTGTTGCAGAAACATATATATATGCAAAAAAAAAAAACTTATATGCAAATAGGGTGCGGATAGAGATGGCAAATGGGGCAGGGCGATTACAAGGCAAACCCGCAAAAATTTCAACCCACCCTGCCCTCGCCCCGCATAGCATAATTTGTTATTTTCAGTCCGCCCCGCCTTGCAGAAACCCGCCCCGCCCCGGCCTGCATATTTTTTTTTTTCTTTAATGAATTTTCTGCCAGATTGAAACAAAATCAAGAAGCCACATAGTAGATCGAATATTTTTTTCGCCTTTTCGGATGCAAATTATAAGAAGTAGATGGATACTTCGAACCAAAACTTTATTTAAGTACTGCTAATGATGATTTGCCATACACACTCGTTGAATTTCTTTCACAATGTTGGGATGAAAGAGTTAATTGTGCAAAAAAAAAAAAAAAAAAAACAATATTGCTATGCTAATGAATTTGGAAAAGGTGTTTTATTTAATACTCCTATATGGTAAAGGTCCAAGTGTACCCTCAACCAAAGAAAAAGAAGTAAACAGTTAATTGTAATTCTTCTAATTCTTATAAAATATATTTTTTTTTAAAAGTAAACAGAAAAATATTCAACTTCATGGATGTGTGAGTGAGGTTGTGATTGACGAAGAGAGTATAGAGACCGGAGAGACATCGTTTTAGGTCTTCACTTCAAAAGACTTAAATATCCAACCCGTAATCCGTCCCGCACCCGCAAATGCTCTAACCCGCCCTGCACCACAAGCCCTGAAACCCGCCCCGCTCCATTGCTATCCCTAGGTGTGGATTTGCTCCAGTAACATTTCCTCCTATGTTTTTCAATGGGGATCTAGATTGGTACACTTGGTGCACCTATGTATGGCCTTCCAGCATACTATACTGGAACTCCAGCACATGGAAAGTTGCAGCATAATATACTGGAGATTGGAGCACATGTGATGGAATCTGTGATTTCATCCATTGATAAGAAATGAGATCTAAATGAGAAGGAGTGAAGAGGAGAAAAAGGAACTCAAATTGTATTTCTCAATCTCCGTTCATAGGTACAAAATATTTGTAATATCTGTCTACTAATAAAGTACATAACTGACTCTTTAAATGTAAGTGAGAAAGGACCAAACTACCCTAACTCACTCACCAATCTCCAATAACCTGTGTATGAACTTCCAGCATATTATACTGGACTAGTATGTTATGCTGGAACTCCGATATATTATGCTGGAACACCAGTATATTATGCTGGAAGTTCACATGTAAAAAATTCGAACTCCAGTATATTATGCTGAAATATTTTTCGGATTTTGAACAGTGTTTTCGTTCAGATTTATCTTGACATGAAAAGTCGCTAAATTTCGATTACTTTTGAAACTGTGACTATTTTTCAATTACCACTTGTAAATCTGACTATTTTTTAATGTCACCCAAATATTTAAAGGCTTATATTACAATATTTCTCTTTCTCCTTGCGTGCAGTTATCACTATGGCTGTCTAACGGGACGGGCCGTCCCGGCCCACTTCATGTTAAACGGGATGAGCCAATATTAAACGGGACACGAAATGGGACAGGATGGCCATTTCGTCCCGTTTGTCCCGTCCCGTTTCGTCCTGTCCCGTCCCGCCTGTCCCGCAATTTTTTTTAAAATTCTAACCGTTGNCTCCTAGAATTAGAAAACATATAGATGAAATGACTCATGTTGATGAAACTTCATTTTCCCAATCCCCCGCATGTTATAATATTAATTTTGGAGAATAACTAGATCGTGAACCTTTACAAAGATAATTTGGCAATGATATTATTTTGAGGACGAAGAAAATGAGGATGAAGAAAACGAGGAAGAAGAATTGGATGAAACACCCACTAGTCCCGCAATACAAGCTCCAACTCAGAGTCAATCTCAGTTTGGAGCTTTACCCCCTGTAACCCCTGCAAGGGGTAAGCCTAAGGCTAAACGTCCCAAAACATCACTTGTGCCTTAATTTATTTTCTGATGCTTGTAGTAAAATACAACATGCTTGCGCCTATATTTTTTCGTGCTAATAAAGCGAGTAGAATTCGTGAATTTGCTCAACAATGTGCTAATGCTAACCTTCCATTTAGAAAAGTTCCAAAAGATGTTTGTACTAGGTGAAATTCTTCTTATGAAATACTTAAAGTTGCTTATGATTATCGGGTGCCTATCCAAAAGGTATCTAATATGCATAATGGTATCCCCACTGATCAAATTGTTGATTCTGATTGGGATGAGATCAAAGAGCTTACTAAATTTTTAGAAAAATTTTATTATGCTTCAAAATAATTTTTTGGTATATATTATCATACTGTTACACAAATATTATGGTATATTTGTGAAATTTCTGTTGTATTTGGTAAGTATAAAACAAATCCAACTTATGCATCGTCCATTAATGAAATGATTTCAAAATTTAAAAAGTAATTTTTCCCTATTCCCCAAGTTTATTTAATTTCTACTCTACTTAACTCATCTTTAAAACTAAGAGGCGTAAGGGACTTGTTCGTAAAATTTATGAGAAATTAGCAATTCAAGAAAATGAACAACCATCTCTCGAAGAATGCCAAGCTAGCATATATTCTTATACTAGATCAATGTTTGATAAATATAAATCTATGGAAACAACAGGTTGTGAAACTGCTCCTTCTATTTCTAAGTCTAGAGCAGAAGTTTTATGGAAAGATATGGATGATATAACATGTTTTGATTCCTCTATTGAT